CGGGACAGAGACCGGGAATCACCGGAGCGGCACCGGGACAGAGACCGGGAATCACCGGAGCGGCACCGGGACAGAAACCGGGAATCACCGGGGAGCGGGACAGAGACCGGGAATCACCGGGGAGCGGGACAGAGACCGGGAATCACCGGGGACATCCCCCGGGACCGGGAATCACCGGAGCAGCACCGGGACAGGGACCGGGACCGGGAATCACCGGAGCAGTGACGGGAAAAGTGACTGGGGACATTCCCCGGGACCGGGACACCGCGGGGACATCCCGGGACTGCCGGAATTCCCGGGACACTTTGGGACTGAGAGGCCGGAACACCGGGAGAGACCGGGACACCGGGAGACAGAGACCGGGACACCGGATGCCCTGGGCGAGGCTGGAATTTTGGGAATCCCAATCCCAAATCCCGCTCCGAGGTTTGGGATATCAGAGATGTGACCCTGCCCTGGATGTGGGCTGGAATTTTGGGAATCCCGATCCCAAATCCCGCTCCGAGCCCCGGGGCGGCACCGGGATCGCCCCGCGGATCCCGGCACAGAGGCCGCCGGCCCCTCGGGGCGGGATTTTGGGATTTTGGGATTTGGGAATGTCCCGAATCCCGCCGGGCTCCCTCCCGGTGCCCCCGGCGCTTCCCGGGCCCGCTGGGTGGAATTCCCGCCCATCCCGGGTTTCCCGGGACTGGAACATTCCCGAATTCCCGGGCCGGAATTCCCAGTACCGGAGCATTCCCCGGCTGCAATTCCCAGTTTCCCGGGAGCGGAGCCTTTCCCGGCTGGAATTCCCGGGACCGGAGCTTTCCCTGAATGGAATTCCCGGTTTTCCCGGGACCGGAGCCTTTCCCGGCTGGAATTCCCGGTACCGGAGCTTTCCCTGAATGAATTCCCGGTTTTCCCGGGACCGGAGCTTTCCCGGCTGGAATTCCCGGTACCGGAGCTTTCCTGGATGGAATTCCCAGTTTCCCGGGACCGGAGCCTATCCCGGCTGGAATTCCCGGGACCGGAGCTTTCCCTGAATGGAATTCCCGGTTTTCCCGGGACCGGAGCTTTCCCCAGCTGGAATTCCTGGTTTTCCTGGGACTGGAGCATTACCCAGATGGAATTCCCGGTTTCCCGGTACCGGAGCATTCCCCGGCTGGAATTCCCGGTTTTCCCGGGACCGGAGCCTTTCCCGGCTGGAATTCCTGGTTTTCCTGGGACTGGAGCATTCCCCAGATGAAATTCCCAGTTTCCCGGTACCGGAGCATTCCCCGGCTAGAATTCCCAGTTTTCCTGGGACTGGAGCATTCCCCGTCTGGAATTCCTGGTTTTCCTGGGACTGGAGCATTCCCTGGCTGGAATTCCCGGTACCGGAGCTTTCCCCAGCTGGAATTCCTGATTTTCCAGGACCAGAGCATTCCCCGGTGAGAATTCCCGGTTTTCCCGGGACCAGAGCATTCCCTGGCTGGAATTCCCGGTTTTCCCGGGACTGGAGCATTCCCTGTCTGGAATTCCCGGTTTTCCCGGTACCAGAGCTTTCCCTGGTTGGAATTCCCAGTTTTCCGGTACTGGAGCTTTCTCTGGCTGGAATTCCTGGTACCGGAGCTTTCCCGTCCGGAATTCCCGGTTTCCCGGTACCGGAGCTTTTCCCGGCCGGAATTCCCATTCCGTGTCCCCGGGGTGTCCCGGCCCAGTGAAGGTTCCCGGCGCCTCCTGAACGGGATTCCCACGGATCCGGGAGAGCTCCTGGATCCCGATCCCGACTGCGATCCCAATCCTGATCCTGATCCCGATCCCGATTGCGATCCCAATCCTGATCCTGATCCCGATCCCAATCCTGATCCTGATCCCAATCCCAAACCCAATCCTCATCCCAATCTGGATCCCAATCCTGATCCTGATCCCAATCCTGATCCTGACTCGACTCCTGATCCCATTCCCAATCTCCGGGATTTGGGAACTGCGGGAATCTGGATCGGGATCACTGGGAACGGCCCTTCCCAGAAATCCCATTTTCCCGGGAATTCCCTTTTCCCGGGAATCCCCTTTTCCTGGAATCCCCTTTTCCTGGAATCCCCTTTCCCAGGAATTCCCTTTTCCCATAATCCCCTTTTCCTGGAATCTCCTTTTCCTGGAATCCCCTTTTCCTGGAATCCCCTTTTCCTGGAATCCCCTTTTCCTGGAATCCCCTTTTCCAGGAATTCCCTTTCCCGGAATTCCCTTTTCCCGGGAATATTCCCGGATTTCTGCCGAGCCCGGCCGGATCCTGGCCCTGTGCAGAGCTCTTCCCTTTTACAGATTTTTCCCGTTTTTCCCTTTTTTTCTCCCACTTTTCCCACTTTTCTCCCATTTTCCCAGTTTTTCCTGGTTTTTCCCATTTTCCCCCCATTCTTTTCCCAGTTTTCCCCATTCTCTTCCCAGTTTTTCCCATTTTTTTCCAGTTTTCCCCATTTCCCATTCTCCTCCCATTTCCCCCCATTCTTTTCCCATTTTCCCAATTTTTTCCCTGTTTTCCCCCCATTTTTCCCTGGTTATTCCCTGCTTTTCCCCAGTTTCCCCCAATTCTTTTCCGAGTTTTCCCCATTTTTCCCATTTCTTTCCCAATTTTTCCCATTTTCATTCCATTTTCCCCCATTCTTTTCCCAGCTTTTCGCATTTTTCCCATTCTTTCCCCATTTTTCCCATTCTTTTCCCATTTTTCCCCAGGTTTTCCCATTTCTCCTCATTCTTTTTCCATTTCCCCCCATTCTTTTCCATTTTCCCCATTTTTTCCTGTTTTCCCCCATTCTTTTCCATTTTTTTTCTGTTTCCCCCTCATTTTCCCCCATTTTCTCAATTATTTTCCATTTTTCCCATTTTCCCCCATTCTTTTCGCATTTTTCCCTGGTTATTTCCTCTTTTCCCCATTTCCCCCCATTGTTTTCCCAGTTTTTTCCATATTTTCCCAGTCTTTTCCCAGGTTTTTCCGTTTCCCCCTATTCTTTTCCCATTTCCCCCCATTTTTTTCCCATTTCTTCCCATTTTTCCATTTCCCCCCATTTTTCCCTGGTTATTCCCTGGTTTTCCCCAATTTCCCCCAATTTTTTTCCCAGTTTTCTTCATTTTTCCCGGTTTTTCCCCATTTTCCTCAATTATTTTCCATTTTTCCCATTTTCCCCCATTCTTTTCCCAGTTTTTCCCATTTTTCCCCATTTTCCCACATTCTTTTCCCAGTTTTTCCCATTTTCCCCAGTCTTTTCCCAGTTTTTCCATTCTTTTCCCAGTTTTCCCATTTTTCCCATCTTCCTCCTGTTTTCCCCATATTTTCTCATTATTTTCCCATTTTTTCCCATTTTCCCCAATTCTTTTCCCATTTTTCCCCCCCCGCTCCCCTCCCCACATTCCCAGCCGGAATTCCGCGCGCTCCGGCGGGAGAATTCCCGGAATTCCCGGCCCCTCCCCCGCTCCCGGCGGCTCCGGGGGAAGAATTCCAGAGGCGGCTGCGGCTCCCAGGCTTTGTTGGCTCCGGCATTCCCGGGAATTTTGGGAATTTCGGAATTCCGGCGGCTCCCGGGAGCAGGGCGGGGCCCGAGCTCCTTTTCCCGGGAATTTTGGGAATTCCGGCGGCTCCTGGCTGGGAGCGGGGCGGGGCCCGAGCTCCTTTTCCCGGGAATTCCGGCCGGAGCCTCACATGAAATCGTCGGAGTCGTTCCCGTCCTGCCGGAAAAGCGGGAATTCGGGAATGGGAATTTGGGAATTGGGAAATGGGGCTGAGAATTCGGGAATGGGAATTTGGGGATTTGGGGATTGGGAAATGGGGCTGAGAATTCGGGAATGGGGGAATTTGGGAATGGGAATTTTGGAATTGGGAATTTGGGAATTTGGGAACAGGGAATTCCCATGGGGCCACTTCGGGGTCCGGAGCTCCGGAAATTCTCATTCCCATCATTCCCATTCCCGGAATTCCCAATCCCGTTATTCCCACAATTCCCATTCCCGGAATTCCCAATCCCGTTATTCCCACAATTCCCATTCCCGGAATTCCCAATCCCGTTATTCCCACCATTCCCATTCCCGGAATTCCCAATCCTGTTATTCCCAGCATTCCCATTCCTCCCCAGTATTCCCGTCATTCCCAATCCCATTAATCCCACCATTCCCACTCCCAAGAAATTCTCGGAGTTTTCCCGCCCCTTTCCCAGGGAATTCCCGGAGGAGTTATCCCAAACAATTCCCAGAGTTATCCAAAAGAATTCCCGGAGTCTTCCAGCCCTTTTCCCAGGGAATTCCCGGAGTTATCCCAAAGAAATCCCAGATTTATCCCAGGGAATTCCCGGAGTTTTCCCAGGGAATTCCCAGAGTTTTCCCGCCCTTTTCCCAAGGAATTCCTGGAGTTATCCCAAGGGAATTCCCAGATTTATCCCAGGGAATTCCCAGACTTTCCCCACATCTTTCCCAGGGAATTCCCGGAGTTTTCCCACCCTTTTCCCACAGAATTCCCAGAGTTATCCCAAGGAAATCCCAGATTTATCCAAAGGAATTCCTGGACTTTTCCCGCCCTTCTCCCAGGGAATTCCCGGACTTTCCCCACATCTTTCCCAGGGAATTCCCGGACTTTCCCCACATCTTTCCCAGGGAATTCCCGGACTTTTCCCGCCCTTTCCCGGGGAATTCCGGGAATTCCGGGCCCCACCTGGTTGGAGGACATGTTCTCGGCCTTCATCAGCGAGGAGTAGCTCCTGCGGGGAGAATTCCCGATGCTCCCGGAATTCCCAGGGATTCCCCCCGGAAATCCCGGATTTGGGATTCCCCAGCCCAGAATTCCCAGCCCGGATCCCGGGAAATTCCCGGAATTCCTTCAATCCCGAGAAATTCCCGGAATTCCTTCAATCCCGCTTTCTGTGGGGCTCGGGGAAGCTCCCGGGGGAATCCTGGGAATCCCAAATTCCCCAAATTCCCGAATCCCTCGGGGTGAATTCCCGGCACGTCCCGGCCTCACGCTCCCGGAATTCCGGGAAAGCTCCGGAATTGCCAGGGGGGATTCCAGAGGGAATTCCAGAGGGAATTCCAGACCCAATTCCAGTGGGAATTCCAGAGGCAATTCCAAAGGGAATTCCAGAGGCAATTCCAGAGGGAACTGAGGAAATTCCAAGGAAATCCCAGAGAGAATTCCAAGGAGAATTCCAGGGGAAATTCCAAAAGGAATTCCAGAGGGAATTCCCGGGGCAATTCCCAGTCCCTGACTGGGGCCAGGATTCTGCTGGGAAACCGCCCAGGAGCTCCGATCCCGGAATTCCCAACGAACATTCCCGGAATTCCCAGCAGACATTCCCACCATTCCTATCAAACATTCCTGAAGATTCCCAGAATTCCCAGCAAACGTTCCTGGAATTCCAACCCAGCATTCCCACCAAACGCTCTGAACATTCCCGGAATTCCCAGCGTTCCCGACACTCCCAGCACTGTCAGAATTCCCAACATTCCCGGAATTCCCAGTGTTCCCGGCATTCCCAGCACTCTGAGAATTCCCAAAACCCCCGGAATTCCCGGAATTCCCACCGGAGCTCCTCCAGCCCCTGTGCTGCTCCCGGCGCTGCCGCCACCCAGCATTCCCAATAATCCCAACATTCCCAATAATCCCAACATTCCCAATAATCCCAGCATTCCCAATAATCCCAACATTCCAAATAATCCCAGCATTCCCAATAATCCCAACATTCCCAACAGTCCCAACATTCCCAATAATCCCAACATTCCCAACAGTCCCAACATTCCCAGACATTCCCAGCACTCCTGACACTCCCGGAATTCCCGGAATTCCGGGATTCCCACCGGATCTCCTCCAGCTCCCGTTTCCGCCGGCTCTCCAGGCGCTGCCGGCGGCGCTGCCGGTCCCAACATTCCCAATACTCCTGACATTCCCAACATTCCCAACACTCCCAGCATTCCCACCATTCCCAACACCCCCAACATTCCCAGAATTCCCAAACACCCCTGGAATCCCAGGATTCCCACCGGAGCTCGTCCAGCTCCCTGCTCCGCAGGCTCTCCAGGCGCTGCCGGCCCCAACATTCCTGACACTCCCAACACCCCCAACACTCCCACCATTCCCACCATTCCCACCATTCCCAGAATTCCCAGACATTCCCGGAATCCCGGGATTCCCACTGGAGCTTGTCCAGCTCCCTGCTCCGCAGGCTCTCCAGCCGCTGCTCCCGGCGCTGCCGGCCCCGACACTCCCAGCATTCCTGACACCCCCAGCATTCCCAGAATTCCCAACACCCCCAGCATTCCCAGAATTCCCAACACCCCTGGAATTTTGGGATTCCCACCGGAGCTCCTCCAGCTCCCTGCTCCACAGGCTATCAAGGCACTGCTGGCGGCGCTGCCGGCCCTGACATTCCCAATATTCCCACCATTCCCAACATTCCCAGCATTCCCAGACACCCCCGGCATTCCCAGAATTCCCAAACACCCCCAACACCCCCACCATTCCCAACACCCCCAGCATTCCCAGAATTCCCAAAAACCCCCGGAATTCTGGGATTCCCACCGGAGCTCGTCCAGCTCCTGTCTCCGCAGGCTCTTGAGCTGCTGTTCCCGGCGCTGCAGGCCCCAACATTCCCAACATTCCCGACACTCCCAGCATTCCCAGCATTCCCAACCCCCCTGACACCCCCAGAATTCCCAAACACCCTGGAATTCCGGGATTCCCACCGGAGCTCCTCAAGCTCCCTGCTCCGCAGGCTCTCGAGGCGCTGCTCCCAGCGCTGCAGGCCCCAACACTCCCAACATTCCCAACATTCCCACCATTCCCGACACTCCCAACATTCCCAGCATTCCCAAACACCCCAGAATCCCGGGATTCCCACCGGAGCTTGTCCAGCTCCCGTTTCCACTGGCTCTCCAGCCGCTGCCGGCCCCAACATTCCCGACACTCCCAACACCCCCACCATTCCCAACACCCCCAGCATTCCCACTATTCCCGACACTCCCAGCATTCCCAGAATTCCCAAACACCCCCGGAATTCCGGGATTCCCACCGGAGCTCCTCCAGCTCCCTGTTCCGCAGGCTCTTGAGCTGCTGCTCCCAGCGATGCCGGCCCCACCATTCCCAACACCCCCACCATTCCCGGAATTCCCAAACACCCCTGGAATCCCGGGATTCCCACCGGAGCTTGTCCTGCTCCCGTTTCCGCTGGCTCTCCAGCCGCTGCCGGCCCCAACATTCCCGACACTCCCAACACCCCCACCATTCCCAACACCCCCAGCATTCCCAACACCCCCAGCATTCCCAGAATTCCCAAACACCCCGGAATTCCGGGATTCCCACCGGAGCTCGTCCAGCTCCCTGCTCCGCAGGCTCTCCAGGCGCTGTTCCCGGCGCTGCAGCCGCTGCTCCCGGCGCTGCCGGCCGCAACATTCCCAACATTCCTAACACTCCCAACATTCCCAGAATTCCCAAACATTCCCAGAATTCCGGGATCCCCACCGGAGCTCGTCCAGCTCCCTGCTCCGCAGGCTCTCCAGGCGCTGTTCCCGGCGCTGCAGCCGCTGTTCCCGGCGCTGCCGGCCGCGCTCCCGCCGGTCGCGCCCGCGCCGCTCGGCCGCCAGGTCCGGGAAGCGCTCGGAGCGCGTCCGCTCCAGGCGCCGCAGCCGCTCCGGGGCCCGCCGCTCCACCGGCACCGAGCGCACCTGGGATTCCAGGGAAAAATGGGAATGAAACTGGGAAAAATGGGAATGAAACATGGAAAAATGGGAATGGAACCCGGAGTGAGGCCCTGCCGCTCCACCGGCACCGAGCGCACCTGGGATCCCGGGAAAAATGGGAAAAAACAGGGAAAAATGGGAATGGAACCCGGAGTGAGACCTGCCGCTCCACCGGCACCGAGCGCACCTGG